TATCATACGTAAAACAAGAATAGAATGATATAAATAGGATTAATAGCGTCTTCCCGGACGCACCTTAAATCTTATAGGACCATATATGTGAGAAACACAATCTATAGAAATCAATATCTTAAATGATTTAGCTGGATCTTAAGTGCTTGCGTGATTCTGTGTGAATTTATATACTACGTACATAGTCCTTTAAAATGCACGCCAAAATGATTTTTTATATAATATATAATTTTGTAAGATGAGATGAAAATTCGATGTTCGTATTTACTAGAAATACAACTATTGTTATTGTGTATACTATTGTGTATACTATTGTGTATACTATTGTTACAGCTTACCAATGCAGTCTCATCTTTGCGATGAAGCCGATAAAAGATTACCGTTAACTTGCTTAAACGTGTGAGCTCGCGCAAGAAGAAGCGATGGTAAGCGGAAAAAATTGGCATAAGAACAAAATGTAAGAGACATCCGTAATCATTTTGAGAAATACTCTGCACAGACACGTAATCCTCTATATGGTAATAATTCGTAATGAAATTTATCTGTCTCTCGGCGCTACAACATAAAGTAAAGAAAATTTGGATATTTGAATATCATTCATGATATAAGAAATACAAGGGAATATACGTAATAACCACAGTATAGCGAGCCCCAGCATTATATCGTTACTTTCAAAGACGAAACAATCACGCTGTACAGCCTGTAAAGGATCCATAGCAAAATCAAAATCAGCCAAAACTTGGTGTTTTGTTGATATAGTGAGCAAGAGTCTCTCTATAGCTTCACGATCTTGTATTTGGGCACGGCGACACATCAACTCTTCGCAAACAACCGCTCGGTGTAGAATGTACAGCGTCATAGAGAAATCTCTATTACATCTCAACGGTACGCGCTGCATTTTCATTTTTTATTTTTTTTGTTATTAATTGTAAGATTAAAAAGAGAAATGCTCCTAAAGTTCCTTTGTGTCTTATATGGGTGTTCCAAATTTAAATAGCTAAACTTCGGGAACGTGTATGTAGAAGAGATCGATAAACTAAGAAAAAAAAGTCATTTTTACTTTGTTCTGGAAAAAATCGCAAAAACAGCAAAATATAGTTTTTATTTTTGTACTTATTTATTACTTATTTATTCACACTTATTTATTCACTTTGTTTTGTGCTTAATGCAGATTGTTCAAAATGTTGACCTCTTGCAGCAATGCATCTTGTTCGTGTGTAGCCAAACACTGATCAATGTAGGGAGCTTTCCAGCAGAGGCACAAAGCAATATGAGAGTCATTCTGTCTTTATTTCTTACTGATTATCGAACAAAAACAGGATGACTCTTTTATCGATTTGTGTCTCTTGCTAGAAAGTTCCCAAAATGACTCCGGCACTCTTCTATCTGAAAATCGGCGCGAATATTCTAGCTCGTATTGCCTCTAAAGCTCTAAAGCTATTGTCGCTCAAGTTGTATACAAAAACCATAATCCACTTGTAACAACAATAATATTTCGAAAATTACATTTTATCAATTTTTGCGATTTTTTTCAAAGTGAAGCAAAAACTATATCTTTAAACTTCTTTTCTTAGTTGTCAATTCCCTAGACGCTCCCGAAATTTGACAATTTAAAATCGGGACACTCATTGAACAAGTCATTGAAATATCTCATTAAGTTAATTTACAATACTTCACCACAAAATGTTGAAGGAATTGATAGCACGGATGTGAGAAAGGAAGAAAAATCACGCAGTACTCTAAATGCGGGAAGCAATCGAAAGCAGCCTCCAAGAAATCGTGGGACCAGTGAGGCCTCATTTCATCGCGCATCGCAAACATCTCCAAAATGAAGGCATTTATTTCGTTATCCGGCGTCGGGAAAACATGGGGAACGAATTGAGATTGCATCGTCTCATTATATTCAACAGTACGATCATTTTCCCGCGATTTTTTTAAACCATTGTATGGAATTAATTCAAAATTCTTGTTAAGCAGATCGATATCGATTATAACATTGAGACACATAACACCCACTGCCGAGCCATTGCTATCCTCTCCGATGATCAATTGACGACAATTGCTCGGATGACGAATCATCTCACTAATATAATACTCTCCATAAAGCTTCTTTAGCATATCTTCACCGTTGATAATCGCAATTACGTCATCGTTATCCTCCTCTCTGTACATATATATATATATATATATCAATATATATCATCGAGTATATATGTGATACCGAGTTGTATATAGATGTTTAGAAAGAAATTTCAGAAAATATCAATTGCAAATGAAATCAACTCACACGACTCTCCGTATTTTCAACTTTGGACGTAATCGATGTCGATTAGTCAGATAGAGAAATTGCAGCGCGACGTTTGGCATGGCAGTTTTGGCCAAGACTTTAGTCATCTCTTGCTCGAACACGCTCAAATGCACTAAAGAGAGAACATAAGTCAAGATATGAGGCCTATGCTTTTTAGCTGAACTTCTTGCACGGTTCATCTTTTCTCTTTTTCTCTTCATGAGGAGAAAAGAAAGACGAACTGCAAGAACTTTAGCTAAACAGATCTAGTAACATCTTTCTTCCGATGTAAAAAGTTGAAGCAGAATCGATAGGTGATTTGATAAAAAAAAGCAATCACCTGATTCAACTTGGGATGGAATTATGAGAACCACGTATTGGCAATAGGTAGTGCTGTCGAACACTGCAGCCAATAACTCTCCAAGAAACTCATTCGAGTAGAGCTCATCCCATACGAGTAAGTGTATGAACATTGTGTTCCGTTCCGTGGCAGAGGGAATCCTTTTTGAAAGGTGCTAATCTCATAAACTCGCCTAACATATATAAGACACCGACTCGTATCGTAAAGTCATGTTAACTTTACTACGATTGATGCAAACAGAAGATTACCCGTAAATTGTTGTTAACCAGGTCAACCAATCGTCCGGCGATATGGACGGTATATTGGGGTAATTGCAGAGGCATATCCCCGAAATGACGTCATGTCTCTCGTTATGTTGAACCATTGAGAGACAGGAAGTCTCGCTGCAAATTTTATGTAACGGTACATCAAGGTACACGCGCATAAGAGGAAGCGCACCGATTTACGATTTAATATAATATTGCTGACATTATATAATATTATATAATATTATATAATATTATATATTATATTAATATATATAGAGGAAAGCACGCCCCCCCCCCTCTATTATGAGATAGGAGCTTAATATGAGATAGCGACGTTTCTATTAAACTAATAAACGCTATCTATTGATTCCACCATGAATTTATTGCTCTTGAATTAAAAACTATTTAGTAGAAAATTCATTATTAGATCATGCCTGTAGTTATTGTAAAACAAGATCTTAGAATTTGGATGTCTTCAAGTTTCATTGAGATGAGTATTTAAGCCTTGTTTATTATTTAAAAAATAAATATTTGACAATAAATTTTTCAAGTAGTAGATAGAGTAAGGTACTAATAGAAAAATACGGGAGAGTAAGGTACTAATAAAAAATATGGGATATGTTGAATTGTTTAATTACAGAAATTAGATTTGATGATCGTAAAACCATAAGGTGTGGAAATCGGAATAATATGAGATATCCAGAGTATTCCTAATATGAAATAATGCTCCTATGTTATAGTGAAAATCGTTGCTAAAATATAAATGTTATTGTACAATAATAAAAAAGACAACCGGAATGAACGTCGAGTTGTTTCATTTAACTACCTGAAAAAGAGTTCTGGATATAATCTATCATATGCTCATTTTTCGCACACGCTGGCTGTGTTTGTTTATATTTTAGAAGCATTAAATAAATTTTTTAATTGCAATATTGACATACTTTGTGTTTTACTATTGATTTCTCGGGGCATCTCATATTAGGAGCACAATTTTTTACTTTGCGATTTACTCACTTTTTACATTTCTTTAATTTTCAAAAAAAATGGAATTTGAATTAAATTGTATGTAACGTTATCTAAGATTTATTAAATTCCCTTTAAAATGACCAATTATTTTTTAAAATTCTGCCTATAGACTTTTAGCATTTACCCAAAATGAACTTGGTGTCTCATAATAGGGGCCTTTCCTCTACGTATATATAATGAGAACAAGTTCGCCAAATGCGAGTGCGCGTGTAACTCCATGTATGTGGCTGCAAATACTAGAGTTGTTCCAATTTCACATTCCCGAAAATTTCGTGAGTCGTCGGACGTATCAGGAGCTCTAAACGCGATAAATCCGAATGTTGAACGCGAAGCGCTCCCGAGATTTTGCTAGGATTTTTTAACTCTTCGGACTCGTCAAGGCAAATTGACATTTTGGAAGCTTGTTGGCTCATGACATGTGGACCTTGATGCGGACATGTCATATGCCGTTCGGCAATTTTCAATCGATCGCAAGTCGCAATCGATTATTCTCATCGAATAGTTTTCGATATACACTTTAAATTTAAATGATAATACCTGTTCATTTTTCATTCTAAAGCGTTTGCTCGTTATCGCGAACAGTTATGTACAGCGGCTGAGTTCAAACTCGGTTGATCGACGATTGCTCGGTTGACTGAAGCGAGCTGTTTACGGGAAAGGAAGTCAAGGAATCTATCGGAATTACCATCTCGGATGTCAACTTAACGTGGGAAAAGTCTGTCGGATACCGTGTACAATACCAACCGACTTGATACCCGCGCAAAAAGAAGGTCATAATGTATGTGTGTTTGTATGCATGAAACTCAACGATCTAAACGGAGTTAGAGGCCAAGCTTCGCTTCCTCATCTCTTCTTAAATTGCCTCTCGCCTTTCGCCTTCTCTGCTTCTTTGGCTCTTGCATTAAGAGTAACAATCATAGACAGTCGCCGCGCAAGTGTCACGTCAAATGTATAATGTATGTACAACTTCACAGCAAAGATGGGGAATCCATTCGATCATTCATCTATCATTCCAATGGGCTTTATTATTGACTGATATCTACAGTTATAGATTATCACAGATGCAACTGCGATAACGGAACGCGATATGATGCACCGTATTGGCCAAACACGAACTCGAAGAAAAAAAAGAAAAATTGAAATGAGTACTTTACAATTGTAAATAGCGGTAGCTATTTACAGTGCGCATCGCGTACGTTTAATTACGTGTACAACGAACGTGCTACTCAAGTGAGGACATAATGCGACATTACGCGACGACATGCGGAAATTGATAATCGAACGTCACGGTACATTGTCATGTCTTCAACATTCTTTTTTCCGAACTATTTGATTGAGTTGATACGGTTTCAGACATCTTTCCTTTCTTTCATTCCTGTGCATGACTCGATCATATCAGTCTAAACTTCCCAGTAAACGAGAATAGATGAAGTGAAATGAATTGAAATGGATTCAGATTTTCAGAAATATTAATTCACGAATGTTAAAAATAAATGCTTTTCAATTTTGAATACATTTTTATTCATTTATAGGAATTGAATGAAGTATATCTCTATGCCTTTCAATTTAAAAATAATATTAATTTAAAAATAATATTAGCTTTTTCTGTGCACACAAACACAATTGTGAATACTGTTCAATTCAAAATTTTGAATAGGGAATGCAGTTTTTCAATCCAATCATCTAATTGAATCTAATTGAATCCAATTAAATCCAAAAAAAAGTATTCACTATTTAAAATACGCATTCGGTTAGAAAAAAATTTCAATCCATTTTAATCGATTCTCGTT